TGCAAAACAGGACTTATAATCACAAACACTTACTCACTTTTGTAATAATCTGTAGTGAACATCATTTTATTATCCCTTCCAGTGCAACACTTTCATCAGTATATTGCATTACAGCTTTCATCATAAATGTGGTATGAAAAGTTGTTTATAGATATATAAACGTGTTCAGCCGCAACACAGAAATGTACATATTTATTCATTAATTGAAAATACAGCTCAGATGTTTAACTGCTGCAACTATCCACTGGTATTTGAAAATATAAAAACAAATACACACATACACTCTTTGCATTTATAGTGCAGTTTACATTTTAAAAGCTCAAAGTGTTACAGGAGGAAAACTTTATATAAAGAAACTATTTAAAGTTGATCTTTATATGTTTACATGAAATGTAAATGCAAGTCCAACTTTTAAAGCAGTACGATGTGTGTTCCTACTATAGCCCTACTTACCAGACATGGAAATATTATTAAAGAACTATTTAAAGAACATATTTGGTACATTTACCATTAAAGGCTAATAACGTGAATCTAGATTCCTGCTTCTCTTCCGGTTGTCAACCAAGCACACTGTCATAGTGTAGTTTTTTCTTTGAACACTGAACATACACAACAGTTAAAATAAAATGAAAAGCCATCAAGTCACAAAAACTCTGACGTTTTTACATGTCAGCATGTAGACTGACCCTTTCCACTGACAGCAAAGGTTCAGCATTAGAACAGGTCTGATCTTCTGGTCTCTGAGGCCATAGATTAGTGAACTCAGACATTTGGGGAGAACAATGATACAAATATAAAGAAAAACCTGGATACGCACGGCTTCAAGTCTCCCTAGATGCTTTGAAATAGCTATAATCAATGAGTTGTATATCACTGAGGACACTGTGAGGCCCATTTGCAGCAGATGCAGCAGAAGGGTCCTTCGAGCCTTACTGGCTGATGCTTTGTCAGTGGAAGCTGAGTGAGCTGCTACCATGATACCAGTATAGGTGAAAACAACTGTTACACCTCCCAACACAAAGAAAAAATAAGTTAAAGCTTTTTCAAAAAGATCAGATGCTGGATCAAGAAAAACGCTCTCCTTTCCACAGAAATCCATCATCTGTGTGAGCTGCAGATCTCGATATGAAAACCTCAACACTAAACTTAACTGTATTATGGTATGCAATAAACCTGTAATCCAAATAACACAAATAGCCACTCCTGTGTTCCTGATGGTGATGATGGCACTATGTCTGAGAGGATAGCAAATAGCAATGTATCTTTCTAAACACATAATCACCAGTGTGGCAATAGAGACAGAGAGTGTTAGACTGTTGAACACTGTTAAAGCAGCGCATACAGGATACAGTAATGTCAGTCTGAAAGAGGACAGTAAAAACATTGACTGACTGTGTGCCAGCTGGACGGTATCTGCAAATAGAAGGTTAAACAAAAGAATATACCGAGAGGTCTCTCGAAACACCTCCTTGCTTCTCAAAGTGTATAACATCGTAATGTTAATGAAAAGAAACACGGTGCACTGCAGTGTTGTCAAAGTGGACGTTGTCACTATCCCCAGGATCCCCTCACGCTGCAGATTAACAGTGATATTTAACTGTGTTCGATTATTGAGGATCATGATAAGCAAAATCCCCCAAAAAAAAGGTGAGGTAAAAATTCATTACAAGCAAAATAGTCGTTAGTCTTCCATTACACAAACAGAAGGGCATCATAGCTATTTATTTGATCGGTGCACACACCTCCCTCATTTCTCGCTAGTTCCTCCTTCTCTCAGCTAATGAGTAAGACCTTGTGACATAGTCATCCTCAAGCACAACACCAACTAAGGGAAACTAACTGTTATAAACAACACATTATTATTAAAAAGATAAGGATTTTTTTTTTATTAGTGCGGTTCATCATAAAAGCAGACTGTTTTTAGTGTATCTATAATGATGATGTCATAATGATAGAAAATCTAAGCACCTGCCTGAATTTTAAACTTTCAAGATATTTTTAACCCATAAAATGTAATTTTTAAAATCTTATATGTGTGCAACATTTCTGAAAACTTTAGAGATCCATGTACCCAAACAATATGAAGGTGGTGAAATGAAACCTAAATAAAAAGGGGATTCTTATTTAAGAACATACAAACAGAACATATTTTGGGCTGTTTCTCAATATGTGTACTTGTGCGTTCTAATGTCCTCATGAAACATCATCATCCTGACCCCTAGTCCTGTTCCAATTTACAAGAACAGCAGACCGAGAACAGAGAAAGTCCCCGGATGTTGTTCTCGCCCCTCCCTATTTACCCAGCATGCATCAGGGCAGACTTTTCCATTCTTGAGATTAACAGCTGTCCCAGCATGCACTGTGGCAGCAGCAGCTTTCAATGGAACGCTCACAGAGCTCAGAGTACTCGTACTCGTCATCTCCCGCTTTATCCGGAACCGGGTCGCAGGGGTAGCAGACTAAGCAGAGACTCCCAGACTTCCCTCTCCGCTGACACCTCCTCCAGCTCTGTTGGGGGAAGCCCTAGGCGCTCCCAGGCCAGTCGAGAGACATAGTCTCTCCAGCGTGTCCTGGGTCGTCCCCTGGGCCTCCTCCCAGTGGGACGTGCCTGGAACACCTCCCGAGGGAGGTGTCCAGGGGGCATCTGAAGAA